GACCCTCCCCCCTCTCATGTGCTCTCTGTCTCTCTCATTCTCTCTCTCAAATAAATAAATAAAATCTTTAAAAAAAAAAAAAATATGATTTAACTTCAAACAATACCTCACCTTCTAGGTTGAAAGAGCTATTTCCTGATGGAGAGACGACCGTGAGCCCTGGACCTGCCTGGTGGAAGACCCACTGGCAAAGCACGGGGTCTGTGCTCACTCCACCAGTGTGCCGCTCCCCACAGGCATCCAGCTGGAAAACGGACTCGGCTCACCTGTGACTTGCAGCAACAAAAGAACTAAATCTAAAGTCAGTGCCAGGGCTGAGTATTCTGAGGCTCAGGGAACCTCAGCTCCCACGAGGCTCCAGCTGTGCTCGGGACATGGTATAGGAGCACGTGGGCAGTCGTGTCCACAGAACTGTACTGAGGGATAATCCGAGCGTGTGGTCAGGGGACACCAAACACGCCTTCTTCACACGGCCGCATCTGCGGATACGATCTGACCCACGGCTTGTCTAAATTCCTGCGGCGAGTCACGTTACAGTCAAGTTTTGCAAAACCAAAAGGAAAAGGCTGTTCACAGTGACCCATTCAGGACTCACCTCAAAGTGAAGGCCGAGCAGGCATCCCCGCAAGGCCTGGGGCTGCTTACCTCAGTTTCCTGACAGAGGCAACTCCGGTCCAGGGGCCAGGTTCAAGGACAGGAGGGGAAATGACAACTTTTTGGCCAAAAACAGAATTTAGAATATCTCAGAACCCAAATCTTTTATTTTGGGTAATAAAAGGGCTGAATAGTGAGCAAAAGGTACGACAGCCACAGGATTCTTTCACACTCAGCGCCGTGCACCTGGAATGCTGCCAAGGGCACAGCCAAGGTCAGCTACTAGACTGGTAAGAGCGGGAAAATGTCGTAATTTAACCACTTTACAGACAGCACCATCTTCAGATGTAGATTCTGAGAAGGTAAGCAGCTGTTGTTTTAAATAATCCCTAAAACCTCAGGGGCGCCTGGGTGGCTCAGTCAGTTAAGCGTCTGACGGGGGGGGGAGTCATGGTTTTGACTCAGGTCACGATCTCAGGGTCGTGAGGTCGAGCCCCAGGTCAGGCTCCACGCTCAGCAGGGAGTCTGCTGGAGATTCTCTCTCTCCCTCTGTCCCTCCCCCGACTTGTGAGCACGCACCCCCCCACAAAATAAATACCAATCTTAAATAATTATAATAACCTCTAAAACCTGAGATTGCCAAGAACTTCACTAGGAACTCACCAAGTCATTACTAATGTGTGAGTTTATCACTGAAAAAAAGGTCTAGTACTTTTCACAAGGCTAAGGGATCCACATGGCAAAAACCTAGGGGTCTACGGCCTCAAGCAGGGAGCCCAAGTCAGCAGACTCAGGGCTGGGTGCATACTCGCCAAGAGGGGCAGCTGGTAGCCGCAGGATGCCGTCATGTGGGCACCTGGGGTTAGGGCTCACAAATCCCTACAATCAAGAATCCAGACTTTTATGTGACAGCTCTGGACTTCAATGTTGACAGTTAAAAGTTATTTTGTTTCTTTAACGTAAGCTCTACACCCAATGCGGGGCTTGAACTCACAACCCCAAGATCAAGAGTTGCACGCTCTACTGACTGAGCCAGCCAGGCACCCCTAAGTTTGCAGAAATTTTAAAAAACATATTGCAACCCTAGTAAAATCATGCCTGTGAAGAAAAGAGCAAACAATCCAAAAGAAAAATGGGCCCAACGAATCAACAATTCACAGAAAAGAACGGCCACATGGCCAACAGGTAGAAGATGCCCAAATGATCAGGGAAGTGTGAGCTCCAAACTGAAGTACTGGAGAACTGTGGCACAGCCAACAGGCTGGTGAAACGGAAAACAGCGCCAGCCTGGGGCAGCCCGTGCCTCTCAGGGTCCTTAGTGGCATGGCGATGGGGCCGTGCACGATGGAAATAAAGATGCCACTGTTTGGACCAAGAATTCTGCTTCTGGGGTGTAGCCCACAGAAATTAAAGCACCAACACGTGTGCCACGGCGCTCTCCACAGCTCTGGTCACGTTGGCCGACGGAACAAATGCAGAGACCCAGCCGGCCACGCTAGGGGCTCCTGACCAGCCTTCCAAGAATGAATCTGGAGTTGCATCAGACAGCGTGGGGGCAATCTCCACATGGTAACACTAAACAGGAGATACAGGATATGACAATCTAATCTCTTCTCAAAACACAATGACTGAAACCTGGGTGTTTGCAGGGGCTATAAAGGATTGTGTGAGAATGTGGCCTGCCTGCAGGGGAGGGGCGTGAGAGGTAAAAACGGCATGTGTGGTACGATCCCATTATGTAAGATCATGTGTGTCTGTGTATGACAAACGTGCTGGAAAAAGGACTGGATGTTTCCAGGGCTCACAGGCTGCCAGTATGTGACCTGTTCATCCCTGGGTTCCCACACTGACTAAAATAATAAAGAACGCTGTCAAAGTTTAGCTCCCTGCTGACTGCTTGCTCACCATCCACGGTAACAAAAGACATGCCGCGCAGTCCTTTAAACCCAGACCTGGAGCAGCATCCCCAGTGTCGACCAGGAAGAAGTGTATTTTCTCTCTAAAAGGGAGCCACTTGCTCAACACACAACCCACCACAGGGATAAAACGGTGATGACAGAGGGACGAGCAGCAAGCTGGTCAGGGCACGTGCCTCTGAAGGGTGGTGAGTACCAAGGGATGCAGGAGGGGGTTGGGGGAGAGTGGGGAAGAGCCCAGTGGGAACAGATGCTTACACAGTTGCGTTTCTTGCATAGGAAGACTGAGTCTGAGAGACTGCAAAGCTTCTTTTCTAACACTGCCCTCAGCACTAGTCCCCTGAGACTTCCTTAGGTTGTCAGGGAAACCAGCCACACCTGGAGAGGCATCGGGACCCCCTGGGCTTGTGGGGGAACCGAGAGGTGACGAAGGGTCTGGGAACGGTGGCGTCGGCCCATTCTGACAGGTGTCGCCCTTGCTGGGTACATCCAGGCCTCCTCCTCCTCCATCTGAAGCTCTGTGTACCTGGACACTGGCACCTGGAAAAGACAGCATGCTGGGCCATCATGGTTTTAACAACTAGATCAAGTTGTTTTTCAGACACGCAGCTAACACAGGACAGAAGGGACTCTAGATGCAGGAGAATGAGCTATCTCCACGCCCCATGAGACTGTCTGCTCTGGGAGGAGAGCAGGCCTCGCTCTCCTCACATCAGCAGGTGCTATCGGACAAGCGGCTCAACTGCTCATTGTGGAATCGAGATTGTGGGATTTAAGTAGTAATGTTTCCTTTTCATTTAAATAAGACCAATGAGAAATCCCATGGAAGTCTGGTTTTAAAAATAGCGGAAGGAAATCAATGCTAAAAACACAGCTGACAGCGTTCCTAACAGGCGCCGGAAACAGAGCGCTAATCAGAGCGACAGCCTCACACCGGGGCAGTTCCAAAGTTGTTTCACAGCATAAGTTCATCCCCCAAAACGAGAAATCTAAGGCAAAGAGGTACATTAACTGACCCGAACAATTACGGCAAAGAGTCAGAGTCTGTGCTTCTGTCTGATGAACACCTGCTAGATAAAAACCCAAGTTTAAACAGTGGTGACTATACACCCACGTATCCAGCTCAGTTTTACCCACTAACATCACTATACACAGATTTGTCATACGCTAACTGAAACCTATTTCCTTGTCAAAAGAAAAAAAAGACTTCTTACAATTAAATGATTTTTACCTTCCCTGTCCCCTCACCCCGGTCAGGGAGCCAGTTGGCAGTCAGGAACCAAGATGGCGCCTGGAGGGAGGAAGGGAGGGTCCAGGGGCCTCCGGGTGTGGTTCCAGAGGTTCCCAAGGGCAGCAAGGTCCCAGCCTCCCACAGGGATCCACACCACTTGGATCCCTGGATGTACCCAGGATGCATCCAGGAAATTGCCGTTTGCCCAAGGAAATTCAAAATGGGTTTCTGATACTTGACATCTGAGTTCCAACCAATACAGCGACTCAGTCATGCTTCCTGAGAGGAAAAACAAAAGGGGCACCACAGACTCAAAGCAGAGTGAGGAGACTGGACCACGGCCCCGACCCGACCATCTGCTCTTATGCAAACATCCCTTTGGCTCCATGCTGGGTGAGGGGGAAGGGAAGCCTGGATGTCAGATACAAGGTAATCAGATCAATACCACTTTCTGATGGGCTTACAGATCTGGGAGAGTCTCTGCATCTTCCTGTTTACATGACAAAATAATTTTTTGAGCATTATATTATACTTTTAAAAAATATAAAAGAAGGCCCAAAAACATTAAGACTATTGTTCCCAAACAAAAGCCAAATCGTGGATAAACAAGTAACAAAGATGACGAGACAATGACAAAACATGACTACTACCACTTCCCACTGCGTCTGTCGGAGTACTTGTGTTTTATGCACCATTCTTTCAGTCCTCACAACTATCCTATGGTGCATGCACCATTACTCCTCCACTTACACAAGAAGTGAAACGAGATCAAATACGAACCCTGCTGGAGAGTTCAAGCTCTTAGTGACGGATCTAAGAGGGGGCTCCCTATCCCTATCCTGCTGTTACCAGCCTTGCCTGGCACTGAAGGAGCAGTAATCAACAAAACCATTTTAGGTGCCTGAACATCATTTGCAAGAACAGAATGCAGGGACACCTGGGTGGCGCAGTCGGTTAAATGTTTGCCCTTCGGCTCGGGTCATGATCCCAAGGTTCTGGGATCGAGTCCCGCATCGGGCTCCTTGCTCAGCAGGGAGTCTGCTTCTCCCTCTGCCTGCTCTGCCTGCCACTCCCCCTGCCCGTACTCTCTCTGACAAATAAATAAATAAAACCTTATTAAAAAAAAGAACAGAACACAATTTCTGCCTGCAAACCAGTATTACAGACTCTATGACTTCCAAGCACACATTGCACCGACCCCCCTAAACAGGAAGGGGCATAAGAACCAAGTGAATAATTCACCCTGTAGTTCTGACACATGAATAACCCATCAACTAACATGCAAATGTGGTCCAATAATCCTTAGATCACTACTGGGCCATTTCTGGATCCCAGTTAGTAAAACTTAGGCAACCAACCGACAAGAAAGGTAGGACGTAAGGCAGGGAACAATGTGTCAGTGAAGACCCACAGAAGACATAAGGGGGAAGAACCCACTGCTGCATCCTGCTGGAGCACAGCATGGGACAGCTCCTATCCTGTTTAACACACACGGTACTTGATTTAAAGTTGCAACTAAGAAAAAACACTCATCTCATTAGTAAAAACACACTCTGAACATAAAGTTCGTTATGGTCTTACACACCACAGTCTTGTTCCAAAATGCAAGAGGATCCACGTCCTCCTATTTAAAGGCAAAATGTCAGCAGCAGAGTAACCACTGACTTACACTGGGCTTCGTCCCACTGGTCAGGCGGTGCCGGTGAGCCTGGGGGCTTGAGGAGGGGCTTGAGGAGGGCCTCCGGGTCGGCTGGGGTGCCACTACTAGATCCAGCTGGCGTTCCGTCCATGGTCAGAACGGCACAGGCTGGGCTGTCTCGGGGGCTGCAAGCAAGCCGCCGGCAGGTGCGGTTTCAGCCATCAGCAGCAGCCAAGAGCTTCTGGGAAGAACCACACTAGGCTTTCCATTTTGGGGAGATTTAAAGTCTCAGAAGTGGCTTGAAATCAAACCAAGTAATATCATGTTACCTGAAAGGAGGGAAAAAAGAAAGTATTATGAATCTTCATTTGTCAGATTTGAGTAATAATTCCAAGACTAACATTTGGCTCCCAACTCACATCTATATAATTAACACAGATTTATTCATTCAGCAGACAACCCTTCAGTACCTACAATATCCTAGGTTTTGAGGATAAAATGCTGGACCAGCCACACCTGGGCCCGTTCCTGAAGGTGCTTCATGTCTGTACCGGTGCCAGCTAAGGGCCATCCTGCCCGGGCAGGGCTGGAACTGGAACTATAAGCACCCAGGGAGCCTCCTAGCAGAGGCAGGGCTTGGGAGGCTGAGGAACTGAGTTGTTTGTTAAAATTTAAGTAATTTGAGTCAAATAGCCACATGTGGCCAGTGACGTCTGTACTGGACACGCAGGCCTAAGCACTCACAGGGCTCATAGGGCAAGCTCCCCTCCCAGGAGGCCTGACCTGATGGTGGAAGACGCAAGTGCACGGACCATGGAAACAGTACACTGTATCACGGGAAGCACAGGGAGAGGACACATGGAAAGGCAGCCACCTGGGAATCGGGGTCCAGAGAAGGCATCTCATAGCAAGTCACCAGTCTTGTCTTTCATTCCTGTCAGGATCAGCTTTTAGCCCATCCTACTAGGCTAAGTTTAAGGGAGGAAAACTTTGCCCCAAGTTCGGCAACCGGTTACCGTTCTGGAAGCATACCGAAGATATTCATAACCTGTTCCTCATCATCAGGTAAGGTTTGAGCCACCATTCATTCTGCAGAGATGTTGGCATTTTCTTCCTCTGAAGTAAGTTTCACACTATTCTACATACTATTCTGTGTTTCACGAGTTTCAGGACAAAAATTTACATGACTTCCTTCTCCAGTTTACAAATTCCATATAGACATTTCAGATAAGAGCCGGAGCAGTGGCCACACAGGAAGGGGGGGATGATGCTGACACCACAGCAGGAGGATGTGGGTGTGCCTCTTTCTCCACAATCCTCTCTTGCCGTACCCCTGGACCAGGCAGCACTGGTAGTTGACATAACCTGGTCTTACCCATGATCGAGTGAGTAGTGATGGCGTGTCCCCTGTGTAAACCCAGGAGTGGCTGGCTTGCAGCTCTAACCATCCGCATGTTCCACTCTGCTGTCTGGCACCCTGCAGGCCAAAAGATGCTGTGGCTCAGTACTAATGCTGATAAGAATATGAAAAGGTTACATGTACCATTAAGTGCAGAACCAGCACTAAGGGCTGTACCAGAAAGAATCATGATAGAATGTGCGACAACAGGGGAGACTACAATCCAACCAGCTAACTGGAAAGCACTGGGTGTCAGTGTGACTCAGTGTCTGGCTTGCGTAAATATTTGAAGACTGAAACAATACCTGGATCACAGAAATGGAGTTACTAAGGCTGGCCAGAACGTGATCCTGTCTGCAATGAGTTCTCTATCTTGTTTTTGTCTCTACAATAATCAGTAACCTCTTTCATCCCCAAAGCCTTTCTGGGGTGGGGGAGAAGGGGGGATGGACAAACAGGTTCTTGGAGGCTCCACACCTGTCCGTGCACATCCCACAGGGCCCTCCAAAAATCACCGTTCCACAGGGTCCCAGCTCCATGGAAAACCACCTGGCTACTACAGATGACTGATCCTATGGAGATGTCCACAAAGCAAGGCACGGCACATGAGCAAAAGGATAGCCAGGCTGTCCCCTTGATCACAGGCTTGCCACTTCAAGAACATGTAGCAACAGAGTGGAACGTGAAATGCACAGGGCATACTGCATGTGCTGCTCATCCTGACACATTCTTTAACAAAAGAAAATGTCTGCATTTTGCTTTCGAAAGTGGCGGCATACTCTGGTTTCTCTTCAAAACACCAATCTTTCGCCTTCAAATGTGGCGGCAGGGGTGAAGGTGTGTAAATCACCTGTCCCTCTGATGCCTGAAAGGGTAACAACGGCAGATGAGTGCTTTTCAAGCAGAAGCTGGTTCCTCTGCCATGGATGCCTCTCCCCCCTTGACCACCAGGCAAATTCCCAAGGACCCTTTCATGTCTACCATTTGGCACTCCTCTCAAGTCTCTCCTGGGCCTCAGATAAAGTGCCTAGCCCACTCCTTTCTGCCATCGAGATAACCCCTCTGTGCACACCACACTGCAAATGTGTGTGTGTGCCCAACTCCTCCATCATGCTGCAGGAACCTCGGAGGCAGAAACCACCGCTCCAAGTCTGCCCCACCCCTCAAACATCCCCTGCTCCAAGCTGTGCTCAGCACAGGCTACTGACTTCAATCTTTTTTTTTTTTTTTTTTTAAGATTTTATTTATTT